AATCAACATGTCGATGCCTTCCTAAATCTTTACAATACTAAGATTGAAAAAAATTGAACAAAAAATTATAAGATATTTGAAGAAAAAAAAATATACATCATTTATCAAAAATATATATACATACCAAGTTGCAAGGGACGAATTTTCCTTGATTAATTAATTTGTATCTAACGATTGAAAGATGTTTTGGCCAAAAAAAATAAATAAAGATATATTCTATTGATATTACTAATAAGATTAAATATAATATATCCTGCATATTCTTCGTCATCACTGAATTGATTTGGTATCATATTTCCATGTGTCCATGAGGTAATTGTATAACACGTACAAAACATTTGCAGAATTGACAATTTGTGTCACAAAAATGAAAACCTTCTTCTTCATGATAATGTTTTCCGGGGTGCTTAAATTCATTTTAAGGATTTTTCTTAATGCATTTTGTTCTTTCACTTGATTGAACAAACTATTTTGTTAATAAAACATCATTCAAATATCAATATCTCTTTATTAAAAAATAATCCAACTTTTACTTATTAATTTATACCTTCGTAAGTGATTCTTTTTCAGATTCTTTATTAACTCCTTGCTTGGTAATTACTACCTTACATATACCGGATTCTTCGCATAACCCACGACATTGATGTTCATCCCTAAAATCAAATAATTTTAAATCAAATAAATTCGTTTCCAATGACATAAAATAATAAAAAAAAAATGATAGTACAAACCCACAAAAATGATCCACTTGATTTAGAGTTTGAATGAAATGAGAGAAGACGACACAAAATTTTGAAGATTTAAAAACATTTTATGGTTGACTCATCAAAAACCATTGAAGTCGAAAGGTTTCGACTTTTGTCAAAATGGAATTTGGATTTTGCCCCGCAACTTTAGTTGGAACATATTTTTTTTTTTAAAAAAAATATCATTTTTTGAATGTTTCGTCTTCCATACTTTTTGCTAAACGAAATGAACAAGAAAAATATACCAATGAGAATAAGAATGTGACGTGACGCGATAAACCTTAAAAAAGACCGCGATAAATAAATCACGTGAACTTTGATTTATTGAACTAAAATATTTTCAAATCATATGATTAGATCCGCAAACACGTGATTTAGAATCCCATAATCCGACAAAATTCTCATTTTTCTATAAATTTACATTCATCTGCGATAGATGATCAGCACTATTATTTGTTGCGATTTTTTTTATCGTCGTTTTATGCACATCACATCAATTTCGTCCTTCATTGTTGCATAATTCAGTGAAACGAGAAAACCTTTCTCTCCTATTGCCGGGGGTGAGTTTAAACTGATTCCGATGCAGTTTATTCGAGGCTTTGGGATTGATTGGTTGCCGACGTTATTTGTGTGATTACGCGTAAACGATGATTTAAATTCTCGTAGATTTATTTAGAATTAATAGCGGGTTGGGTGTGAATATTATATAAGTGGGAAAAAAACAAAATATATACTTTTTTTAATTCTTTTTTTAGTTGATTTTTTTCATTTTCTTATTTTTTCTCATTATTTTATTTCATTTATTTTAATTTTTTCATTTTTTTGTTTTAATTTCGTTTTTTAGTTTTCTTTTTTTATTTTTTTTTAGTTTTTATTAATTTTAGTTTCCATTTTTATTTCTTAATTTTTAGTTTTCGTTTTCGTTATTTTTTTTTAATTTATTTTTTTCGTTTTTCGATTTATTTTATTTTCGTGCGATCTTAATTCGCGCGAACTTTTTTTTTTATTTTTTACTTTTTTAATCTTTTTTTTTATAGTTTTTATTTCGTTATTTTTTATTTTATTTTTCTCTTTTCGTTTTTTTTTTTAAAAAAATATAATAAAATAAAAATAAATAAAATGAAAATGAAATAAAAAATAAAAAAAATATAATAAAATGAAAATAAATAAAATGAAAATGAAATAAAAAATAAAAAAATTTAAATTAAGATTAGTTGTTATATCGCGATCTCAAATTTTTTAATTTTTTTCTATTATCGGTGATTTTTTTTTTTTTTGAACGGAACGGTCTAATTTGTCATTCTAGCGAAAACTGACTAAAATTCTTTTTTTTTAGATTTATTGATTTTTTTTATTTTTTATTTGTATTTAATAAATAATTTAATTTTTTATTTTAGGTTAGATCAATTCCCTCTCTTAAGCAAAGAACAGACGGAACTTTCGAACAGAATCATTCGGTTCATTACCGCAGCGAAGGTAAGCTGCCGATTTTTTTTTTTCTTTAATTTTTTATTTTCCTTTTATTTTAGGTTCGATTAGTTCCTCCACTTAGGCTAAGAACCGGATGAAACCTTCGAACGGAACCGTCCGGTTCGTCACCGTGGCGAAGGTGCCATCGATGTATTTTCTTTTCTTTAATTTTTTTTTTATGTTTATTATTTTATTTTATTTTTTTTTTTTTATATTTTATTAATATTTTTTAATTTATTTTCTTTTTATTTTAGGTTCGATCGGTTCCTCCACTTCGGCTAAGAACTGAACAGAACCTTCAAATGGAACCGTCCGGTTCATCACCGCGGCGAAGGTAAGCCGTCGATGTTTTTTTCTTTTCTTATTTTATTTTATTTTTTAAATTTATTTTTATATTTTATTAATATTTTTTATTTTCTTTTTATTTAGGATCGATCAGTTTCTCCACTTCGGCTAAGAACAGAATGGAATCTTCGAACAGAACCGTCCGATTCTTCACCGCGGCGAAGGTAAGCCGTCGGTGTTTTTTTCTTTCTAATTTTTTTTTTAATATTTTATTTATTTTATTTAAATTTCCTAAATATTAGACTTATTAGATTTTAAATTTTCACGTTTAAACCAGTCTTTTATTATATACATTTCTAAAAAAAAAAAATTAATGTCCTACGGCAGCAGGATTTTAGAGACGTTTTTCTGGATATAATTGCATGGCAACAGTTGAAACCTTATGTTCCGAATTCGAATTTTCGCGGCATTTTAATATCTATTATAGAGAACTAACTAACTTTGATTTTGTTATGGAAACAACATAAACATAATTCCTGAAGAAATATCTTAGGCTCGAAGAAAGTTACCAGGAAATAGCCGATAAGAAGAATCGAACGTTACAAACTATGCTACCGCTACCTTTAAATATTATATAATCCAGAAGGCATCTCATAAATGTACCTGATCCTAGAGAACGAGTATGTGCTTTCCTTTGGTATACTCGCTAATACTAACCTTTTCGGTTTTACTTTTCAATTATTATACTATATGTGAATAATTTATCACTCGATTTGAAGATTGATACTTGGAGTACTACTCGCGCAACCTTCAATCAATGTGCGTTAGAGCCGATAAGAGAATAATATAGCTAGCAATCTTAATAAATTATGTAAGTGAGAGATATTTTGTAATTTTTACAATTGTTTTCTTCTATTGCAATGCTTTCACAATTTGCTCTTTTATCCATAACTAGACTATAATCGTAAATCTTTTTAACGTCGTTATAATTGGAACGGTGAAATACAAAGCACCTCTCAACCAATTGAATTGAACCGTGAGGACTCGGGGACGGAGGGCATTTAAGAGAGTTCTATGCAAATGTGTGGCAGAATGGAAAAGTAATCCGGAAAAGAGATAATCATTACGATCAAAGCTGGTTGACTCCAGATGTGCTTACGATCAAAATCAGACTAAAAAATCAATCATTTGATCGGATTGATCGGATATTTTATTTTTTAGAAACGTAATATTCGTTCTTTATTTTTTTTCAGAACACATCGGAACACTGGAATATACTTGAAATAATGAGGTGGGGTTTCTTTTAGCTATTTTGGAGATTTGCTATTAAAACACGTTACGGATCATATGATTTTGTTTGTAACTTGATTTTTATAGTAAATTTTCCATTTGTCTTTTAGAAACGCTTCCAGGATTTCTTTATTTTTTAGGACGCCGAGCTGGAACTTTACAATATTGGTATCTTGGATTAGAACGGTCTGGAACCTTGAAACTCTGGAATCTTGGATCGGAGGTAAAATGGTATAATTGTTAGTTAATTTTTTTTAAAAAATATTTTTTTTTAAAAAGCTAACACTAAATTTATCTTTATAGGATGGTCCGTAATGAGAAATTTTATAGTAAATTTTTTTAATTTTTTAAAAAAAATAACACGAGACACTAATATTCAATACTTACTTACGTTGCCAATTTGGATTTCTATTTGTAACAACTAAAGAAATTATATTAGTAGATAGAGCTCCGAATCAGGTCAGGTCGACCTGTTTACCTAACCCGAATCGACCTGAAAATTCAGGTCGGGTCAATAGATTTTCAGGTTGATGTCAGGTCGGGTCAATAGATTTTCAGGTTGATGTCAGGTCGGGTCAACAGGTCGACCCGACCCGAACCGAACCGACCCGACCTGATAAAAATTCAGGTCAACCAATCATACTTCTTGAATAATTTATTATCGTTAAATTAGAAATAACAAAGTTGATTAAATAAATTTATAATTGTTTATTATATTATTATTTATATTAAATATATTATTTTTTTTTTTATTTTTTTTATAGTTGCAGTATCCGGTATATAGGAATCTGTAAACGGAGTATTTAAGAAGTATCGAAGTGATATCCTCTACACCTAAGAATCCCACAAGGTCGTGTCTAGACTCTAGTTCTAGCCAGAACCCGCCCTGTAATACTAGTCCGAAGATTGCCACCTAGGTCGATTCCCCAAGAGCTAACCCTCAGAGTACCTAGACCTCAGAACTACTGTCAAATTTGGATAGAGGGATCACTTGCAGCCACAGGTACTTTTGTCAATTTTTCCCTGTTTTTACCAACACCATATCTGGATACTATTACCTCTGCCCGGTAT